CAGATACTGTACACAGGTAAGCTGAGGTCAAAGGATCGACCCCTGGGATCTGCATCGGCTACTGCCAAAGGTGAAAACTGTTTCACTAGCAATCAAACAACAAAAATCCCCATACCTTAAAATAAAATCACACAATCCAAATCATTAACTTGATGAGCTGGTCTGCCAAAGTATCTCTTTTTCAACCTGTATGACTGAAGAACTTCTTATATCGTCGCTCCAAGACTATTAATTAAAGAAATAAACTAAGACTGATCTTACTATCATGACTACTGAAACTTGTCATGAATCATTTCTGCAAGTGAATACCGCTGGTACCATGCAGATCAACAAGTGATCTGGTTCCTTCCCTTTTCTCTTTCCAGTCTTCGCTTTGGCCATCATCACTTGGACCTTTAACCGCTCCTCCTTCAAGCTGGTCATCATCTCCTTCATGTCCGATATAGTCTTATAGACCTCCTTGTCCTTATTCGTTCCCAACTGTACCCTCTCCCAATCCTCCTTCTGCTGTTTCAGCAATCGATAGAGGATCTGGTCGAAGTTCCCGACCAATAAATTCTCTCGAATTTTTGGCCAATCATACCGTTCTTTCATGCCCTTCACCAATTTTAACTACTCCACTTCCGTGAAATTATCCAGGAAGATGAGATAACGATCCTTGTCTGGGAGGTCAAGAACTAGACGCGCCACCCGCTCGAATTCAATGAGAAACTGCTTTGTCGTACCAAAGTTCTCCGACTAACCTTTCTCAAATCTGCTAAGTCCAACAATTGGTCGCCTAACTGATACTTCTCAAGCAACTTTCCTTTGAATTCTGGCTTGTCTCGCGAATCTCGTACCAATTCCTCCACCTCTTCCTTGTATTGGACCTTACAGTATTTTTTCACAATTCGCAGCATCTTTTCATTGGACCATTCGCAGCAACTTCCCAATTGCTCAAACTTGTCCACCCATCCCGAAGCGTTGTTACCATCAAATAATGGAACGTCAACCTTCGAGATCTGCTCCTTCTGGGACTGCTGAATAATTCTGGCAAGCTCCCGAATGTCATTTCTTCTCTCATCCTAATTGTCGTTGTTATTAGCCATCTTGAAGAAAATCACAACAACATATTCAACAGAAATCGGTCAATCTTCCTGCATAAGTAAATCTCATAATTCTGGGATCAAATTACCGAATTTTTTCTGAGGTCAAAGAAGGAAAAGAAAATAACTTTTTACTCCATCAATCACCCAAGTGTCGTTCCGCTAGGGACAACGGTGGTTTGCCGTTATCCCCAACAAATACCCTTGTCAAGGTTTTTGACCCGACAACGGAACTCGCTTGGGAACAAGCGCGAAGACGCGGGCCACAGGACAACTTTTTCTTAGAAAATGACAGGCGAGATAGGGTGAACGTAACCACCAGGTAGCGAACAGCAGAAAGGAAGGTTGTACAGGACGCAGTTATGGAAGATGCAGGGGATGGCTCGGGAGCGCCACAGGAAACGGAGGCGCAAAAATAAGAGAGGGTTTACGGGAAGCCTAGAGAGGAGGCCCCGATAGACGAAGCAACCTCAACCAAGAACAAATTCCGATATCAAATTCCCATCCTGACTATGCCCGAGATCGATGACACCCTTAGCAAGTTGCTAGGGACCACGGTGTCAGTCTCGTTTCAAACCATGCTACAAGCAAGTCCTAGGCTCCTGAAAGGCCTTAGGCAGCTACTGATGAGCGCTAACCTCCAAAGGATCCCCAGGGACCTGGAAGATCTAAAGAAGGCCTTCGCAGACATCCGACTAAGCCTACCAGACCGCGAAAGTGGCGAAGTTATGAGGGCGTCACCCGGAACGAAGCTTAGTTTCCATGCACTACCGGTAGGCAAGTTGAAAGTCCAAATTGGAACCGGCCAAGTTATGAGGGCGTCACCCGGAACGAAGCTTAGTTTCCATGCACTACCGGTAGGCAAGTTGAAAGTCCAAATTGGAAGCCACCACACCGATGCGCTGGTAGACGAAGGGGCTGAGATCACGCTCATTAGGAGGGATTTTGCAAAAATTATGGGATACCCAATAAACAAGGAGACAACTGGAAGCATCCGTGGGGCAGGTGTGGAAACTCCTTTCTCCGGGTATGTTACTAAATGTGCAGTCAAGATCAGGGTTAGGGAGTCCATTTGGTCATTCCAATGGATGACTGTCATGGATGAAATGGACCACGACATAATCATTGGGACACCTTGGTGCACAAATGTGGAAATGATAGGAATGCACCTGCATGATGGGACATACATGGTAGACATAAAAGATCCTGTGACGGGACGTGGGGAGTTGCTCCGTCTCATCGGGACACGGGGTGAGACACCAAAAGGGAAGCTACCAACATGGTCACCATTGTTCGAGGAAAGTGTCAGAAAGGGGGCCTTCGCACGAATGGAAGGAATGGGAGAAAGGGTAGAAATTATGATCGAAGAGGCTTTCAGCAAGAAAGAATGGATCAAGATGGGATTACCGCTGAAAAAGCGGAGACAAGAGGACGATGCCCTGGGTGTTATGGTAATAGAGAAAGAGACAGAGGTCGAATTGGGAGCCAGCTTGCCTAGACCAAAGGAGGCTCGATAAGAGGAGTCCGGGATAACGCTTGAAGTCCCCGACTTACTGCACCTCGTCAAAGCCATTAGGTACCATAAGGTAGGCGTGGATCCAGTTGCGCTCACCAAGTTTGAGGGAGAATTCTGAAAAGGCTACTGCCTGAATTGGAAATTGACCAGTATCCAGCCTCGGATTGCCGAGCCACCACGGACGATTCCCGTTGTTCATTTTTTAAGAGAAAGATCCCAGAAGGAAGCGTTCACAAGTACAGGCTAAGCTTGTCTCGATCTTGCTAGAGACAACAAGGGAGGAAGCCATGGAAAAGGAGGAAAAAGTTCTCCGGGTGATTAGCGAGAGAAGGGCAATGGAGAGGCACCAAATACTAAATGAAGTAGCAGAGACCATGAAGATAGGGGTGGAGGGTTTCCTGACAGAGCAGGAGACGCGCTTGATCAAGGAAGCATGTCAAGAATTTCACCTAGCATTTGCTTTCAATGACCATCAGATGGGACGATTAGACGCAAAGTTGATACCTCCGATCAGGATCCACACAGTCGAGCATGAATGTTGGAACAACAAGGGGTCTGCCTACGACTTCGGAGTAGCAGGGGAAGTGAAAGAATTGCTTGAGAGCAAAGATGGACTCCTTCGTGGCAGAACCCACCGCATCGTCGTACGCGAATAGATGGTTTGTGTTCCAGAAGCCCAACAAGTCGCTTAGGTGGATCCAGAATCTGCAGAAACTAAATGATGTCACCATCCGGGTCGCGGGGTCGCTGCCTCAAGCGGACCTGCTGGCAGAATCCCACATCGGACGGAGCATCTACTCGCTGGTAGACCTCTATTCTAGATACGATCAGCTCCCGCTGCACGCCCGGGATAGACCCTACACGGCTATGCATACCCCGGTAGGCCAACTACAAATGCAAGTGACTCCTATGGGCTTCACCAATGCGGTGGCGGAAGCCCAAAGGAGAATGCTCGCAGTTGCGGGAGACATGTTCCCTGCAAAATGCGAACCCTATATTGACGACAATCCGATCAAGGGCACACGAGGCAAGGATGAAACGGAAATTCGGCCAGAGATACGAAGATTTGTGTGGGACCACTTGCAGGATATCAAAGAGTTTCTCCATAGGTTCCTGGTATACACCATTACTGTCAGTGGCCCCAAGAGTATTCTGGCAGTTCCGTAAGTGACCATCCTGGGCTTTCATTGCTGATCATATGGGAGGAAGTCTGATCCGGCCAAGACTGACAAAATCTCTCAATGGCTGACACCCCTGCGAACCACAACGGAGGTGATGGCCTTCCTAGAAGTTGTAGGGTTTTGGAGAATTTTTATCAAAGGTTTCACTAAGATAGCAGGGCCCATTCGGGCCATGATTCGAGAGGAGGGTACAAGAGGAACGAGAGGCCGCCGTCCAGACCCTGAAAGACATATTGACGTCCGAACAGGTCACCCTCATGGCTCCATGCTTTAACGATGAGGTTGGGCGTCCATTTGTACTCGAAAGTGAATGGGGGACTACAGACTGTGGGTGGAGTCCCAATCCAAAGTGGGGAGGATGGGAGAGAATGAGCAATCAGATTCGAAAGGAGGATGTTGAACTCAGTTGGGCGTCGCTACTCTCAGTTCAAGAAGGAGGTACTGGTCGTTCTCCACTGTCTAAAAACCTTTCAAGCTTACCTCTTTGGAAGGAGGTTCATCTTGAGGATCGACCCGACAAATGTCGCAGGGGCACTTGGTTTCATTTGGCAGTTTGATTACAAGAACGAGCGCATAGCCAGTCTTAGGAATAGGGCCGATGGCCTGAGCACGGTTTTCATTACACCAGAAGGAGTAGAGGACACGGAACCTATCGATGCGTTCCTCGACTATGACGGAGGGACCCTTGTGGTCAACAACGAGATGGTAGAACCAGCCTACACATTTGGGGACTTATTAATCAACGCATTGGAAAAAGGGTCTCCCGCCGTAGTCGCAAAACTCGGGGAGGGAACAGTTACAAGAACTGGTCGTAAGGAAGAAAAGGATTCGTGGGGTGACACCGTGGGGCCTCAGGAAGAACTGATGGCAATGGCAATAGGAGGACGAGAAGCGGTTATGAGTTTGGTTGAGTCATGTGAACAAAAGCGGTAGCAGGATCGCCGGGACCGGAAGGAATTCTTCCTCATTCGGATGTACAACGGGATCTTTAAGGAGATCGATCTATTACTGGTAGGGAACAAGGACGCTGAAGAGGTCAGCCTCAACGCAAGGGAGGAGGTCGATAAATATGTACTGAGAAATGGGCACCTATTCAAAAAGAGAAAGGATTAATGCTTAGAAGGGTTCTGTGCGGACGATCAAAGCAAGTGAACATAATTCAGGCGATGCACGATGGGTTGGCAGGGGGAAATCACTCCTCAAAAGGGACCCTAGCGAAAATCGCACCACTCTACTTTTGGTTGGGAATGGGGAGTATGGTTGCCACTTGTTGCTATACCTGTTTGATTTGTCAAGAGCGAAGTACGACTCGGGTTTTTGAGCCTTTGAGACCCACGCGAGTGCTAGGACAAGGACACCTGGTTCATCTCGATCTCGTCGTCATGCCTGTATCTACGAAAGGATACAGGTACATATTGACGCTAGAGATAATCTTAGTGGGTTTGTGGAGGCAGTAACTCTTAAGAAGAAAACTGAACGGGTAGTGGCAAACTGGATCGAGGACTTTTACCTAAGGCACTCATTCATCATAAGATTCATAGTTGATAATGGGACAAAATTCGTGAACCAAGACATGTTGAGCACCTGCAAAAGGCTTGGGGTGCCCATCAAGTTAATTGAGCCATAATGCCCAGAGGCTAATGCACCCGTGGAGAGAGGACACCGAACCTTGAAAAACACGATTGCAAAATTAGCAGCAGATGATCTGCGAAATTAGCCTAAGTATCTCAAGCAAGCCGTTTTCGCCGAAAACGTGACCCAAAAGAGAGCCACAGGATGTATTTCAATCGAGTTATGGTATGGGAGGGAAATCGACTTCTCAGTGGAATCCCTAGTACCAACTTCAAATAGGTTGGATGATGACCCGCGCTTGACGACGGAACGGTTAATCGAGGCCAGATGTCAGCAGATTGTTCAAAATGAGGAGGCAATGGAAAAAATAGTGAGCAGGATTCAGGATATCAGGATCAAAGACAAGGCAAGATGGGATCAACTGAAGAACATCAGGAAAGAACCACTACAAGTGGGGGAAATGGTCCTGGTCAAAAATTCGGCACTAGAGAGCACATGGTCGGGATAGCCGGGAAGAAGGTTCAAGGGCCCCTACCAGGTCACTATGAGGTTGGGGATGAACACGTTTGAATTGGAAGATTTGGATGGGACCAGGGTGAAAGGGTCATTTCCAGGACAACAGCTGGTCAAATTTTTAAGTCGAGATCCAGTGGATCAATGGTTGCAAGAGGCCAATGACAAAGAAATTGGGGAACATGCCAACTAAGGTGTCAACAGACAGCTCACCTATGATATGTTTGTTTTTTCGAGGATGGTTTTTTTTTTTACTGTGTTTATGGGGAGCGGATTGCATGGGTTGAAGTAATGCGGTTGGGGCATTGTACCATAGTTTTTGTGAGGGATAAGATGGGAATGAATGCTTAGGGCATTGTACCATAGCTTGTGTGAGGGTTGGTACCGGTGTCGGGCGGCCAAAATCAGTCAGCCTCCCGAAATGGGACATTTTCGACCTTAGCGTGGTCGGATGGCAGAGTTTCGAGGGTCGATGTTAAGGAATAAGCGGTAAAAAAACAGGGCACCTAAGTCGGCCCTATTTTTTGCCTGATCATTCTTTGACACTAGACCTACTATTATGTGTGAGGATTGAGCCCTCAAAAGGAGCCTTGTCGTGGTGTACATGTTCTGGGCCAAGGCCCCCAGCAAGCATCGTGCCCGCCCTAAGTGAAGGCGGGCCAGCAAATCAACGAGAGCCCTCTGTTCAAACATTTCACGAAGTGGGGTCCATACAGTTGCCGCACGCCAGTTGGTTGGAGTGCACCGAGTACCGGATCCCTGCAAATGCAGAAGGACCAGGGCCCTTCCGAGTTGGTTAGGCCCTGGGCACATAAACGTGAGGCCGACATTGCATACTGGAAATAGAGGCCGGAAATGCCAATGGGAAACTGGTCCACTATCTGAATTTGGACGCAGGCCTGGATGAAGGAGGCACAACTGTATTGCGTGGGCCCCAACCACATTGGGTCTGGGTACAGGTACTGGGGCCCAGGCGCAGGCTGAAGGGAGGCCGCCCACATGCAACACTGGCATATAGGCAGAGAGGGCGAGTGGGCAGGGATCTTGGCCATTGTGAGCAAGGCCGGCAAGCTGCTGCATTGCGAGTGTCTGCCATGCGCTAGGCTGAGTGAGGGCAGGCTGGCGCTAAGCGGTAGAGCGCAGCCTGGGCGCAGGGGCTGGCGGCCATAGCCGGGCTGCCTGTGGGCGCAGAAGAGGTGAAGGGCGAAGGTGGTTCTTCGGAGGTCAAGGGCGTTGTGTGGGATAACAAGGGAGA